AGAAATAGCCACTTATAGTCGACTAATAGTCGACTAGTTGCTACTAGGGAAAAGCACAATTAGTTCGACGAAAAAGATGCATTAATCAGCAATTTGCTCGCCGAGAAGAACCGTCTACATAAAACCTTTGTTGACCGCCTTGCCGACGCTCCCAACGCAGCCTTCCACCAAATTCACCGTCTTGTACAACAGCGGCTGGGTAAATGGAGGATACTTGGATGGCTTTCAAGGGCTAGGAACTCCAAGGTTACGCGGAGCGCAATGAATGGAAGAACATCTTGTCTACGGTCAAGGATATCTATGGTGCTACAGTCAAAGACAGCTCGTCATCTCATTGCTCAGGTAAGTAGCCCACTCACTGAGAAGACAAAGATTCTGAAGCATTAGACTGAGCACTTCCAAGCGTTATCCATCATCCCTCCACTATCTCTGATGCCGCTATCGTTCGCCTATCTCAGATGGATATGAAACCTCATCTGAGACTATAATGTCTGTGCAACAAAGCTCCAACGGGCAAGCACAGGGATCGGATGCGAACTCTGCAAAGATTTAGAAATATGGTGGCCACCAAATCATCTAACATCTAACAACGCCCTTCTAGAAGATGTGGTAACGAGGCCAGGTCCCAAAGGACTTGAAGGACGCCACAATTGTCAACTGTCAACTCTGTAACAAACATCATGAAAATGTGCTGCTTGATATCGCCGAAAAAATCTGCGCTCGTGTTTCCATAACCATCCAAAAAACCACCTAGAACAAGGACTCTTGTCAGAAAGCCAGTGTGGTTTTCATCGCCACCGACTTGATCTTCGCCGCTTGACAGGTGCAACAAACGTATAAGGAGAAGGCAACCACATCTAAGCTACTTCCGTGGACCAGGCGAAAGCAGTTGACACGCTGAACCGAGAAAGACTGTGGAAGGCCATGCAGAAATTCCGTTTTCCGGAGCAATTCGACCACATGATACGTCAGGTCCACCATATGTAACGGGATGGTTTCCGACGCCTTCGCATTCACCCATGGAGTGAGGCACGGCTTTGTATTAGCGCCTACCCCCTTCAGTCTCGTTCTCTATCATACTGATGGACGCCTACCGTGACGATCGTCCCCGGATCGGCATCAACTAGAAGACGTCGGGCACCTTCTCAACACCCGAAGTATACAGCCCCCACGTGCGTCTCTACGACCCCAATTCATGACATATTATTTTCAGATAACTGCGGTCTCAACACCACAACGGAAGCCGACATGCAATTGGCTATGGGACTCTTCGCCGCCGGTTGCGCAAACTTCGGTCTTATCATCAGGATGAATAAAACGGCGGTCATGCCTCATCCGCTGTCCGGTGCTGATTACAATATTCGACGTATCAATATCAACGCAGCAGAGCTCAAAAACATGGACAACTTTGCTTATCTTGGCAGAACGCTATCGCAAAACACCCGAATCGACAATGAGGTAGCTCGAAGAACACCAAGTTAGCCAATTTTTGACCGACTTCATGCCTCCGTGTGGAACCATCATAGCTTCCAGATGTCCACGAAACTGAAAATTTACAAGGCAGGGATAGACGAACAACGACCACACAAGCGACTGTCCTGCAATAATGTTGCTGGGGATGCTCGCCGAAAAGGACGACAAAAGAGGCGCTACAAGAATACTCTGGAGAAAGCCCTGAAGTGTCTTCAAAACAACACATCTGCCTGGGAAGAACTCGCGCAGGACTGATCTGCTTAGAATGCGTGAATGTCTTAAAAGGTAGTCGGATCGCCATCGCCAAGGCGACAAGGGCGGCCTGCAAGTCTCAAACCAAACGGACGCACGCTGTCCATTTCAAAGCCCTTCCAGCCTACGCGCACAGTCAACGCAACTGTCGTGCACGTATTGGCTTTATCCATCATTTCTGGATGCATTGCGCCAACCCTCCGACGGCATCTACTTCTACGGTGTCAAACAGTCGAACGGTCCCTCCTGTGTCCAACACTTCGTCGGCGACCACCCTCATCAAAGTAGCTCAACAACACGATACCTTACTGCCCTCACCCGCCGACACCATGCTCCCAAATGCGACCCGCTCATCACTGTTTAAAGCACCGACGACCACGGACGTCACACCCCTAACTCTTTCCACCCTATCAAAGGCCAATACCCTCATCATTTCATGTGACACCTCTAGCAATACTGAAGCCTCGAGTCCAATCTATCCTCATTACAATCGCAAATTCACATCACGCATCGGCCTGTTCGACACTTGCGATTCCATCACACAGAGACTATGAACGTGTACCTGGGGCCCTGACATACAGTCTCAGCACTTTCTTTTACTGCCCGGATCGTCCACTGCATGGGTCCATTAGGCTACATGCGCGTTCACGGAAACCTGTGGTAAAATGCCGCTTGCTTTACTACACCATTATGCCGCTCTTCACTAGCGTCCTCATCACCCAAGATCTCGTCACCATAAATCCAAATTACATAAGATGTGCTGTCAACACACCTACTGAAAGTCACATTTGTCTCCCTGGTAACTTAGCCGATGCACGCTTGCATAAATCGTCGCCTTGCAATGAAAGGGCCCCTTGGGCCTTAAATATACAATTTATTATTATTATTATTGTTTCTTCTCTTCTACAACCTGCTTTACAAAACACCCTTCAGCATGCTTGTGTTTGCTTTTCTAGCATGGTCAATTTACGCACTTATTGGACATACTATCAGGTCGGTGTAGCTGATTAGGGGACAGGAATTAAGGCAATTTTGACCGATTCCCACGCCACACCCTGACATTGGCGAACCGATAATCGATCCCATG